AGCTCACTGTTTAGCTGGTTGATTTTGGTCTTGGCTCCCAGGAAGGCCTTCTTCGTTTTTTCCTCTTTGTCGGCCATCTGCTGTTTGAGCTGCTCCTCTCTGATTTTGCTCTCGGATAGCTAGAGAAAACATTCTCTTCAAAATCTTTCACAACATCTAATTTTAATTTAGTGCGTTAAATTCAACATAAGAGACTGTGCTTGCATTAAACGATTATGGAGGGAAATCGAACGACAGTTTGACTAGAATGTAGTTTGGAGTATGTAGGATTCTCAGATACCTCCTGTCTGAGTTTTGCAAGCTCCTCTTGTTGTGCCTGGTTTGCCTCAGCAGCTGCGTTAGCATCACTTGAGTGGACAGACTGGGAACTCTGGTTTTGGCTGGCCTGTGCGGTTCGGCTTGCTTCATTAGCTTGTTTGGCTTCAGTTAGCTGCTCCTTCAGATGTTTTATGTCTGCTTCACGCTCAACAACCGTCTGAAGGGGAGGTAAACGTGCCAAAAAGATTAAAATACCATTTTATGCAAGACATTTGAATTGCCTAAATATTTTTCTCCAAATTTCACTGAGAAAAAAGTATTATGTTAAATAACATTTTAAAGGAAAGAAGAGGACATTAATTAACAACTCACAGTTCCTAATATAGTCTTCTTCCTCAAATTGACTACTTGCTTGGTTAGTGTTTAGACGATTACAGTAAAAAAGCAAAAAACAAACAAGCTGTTCGAGTATTCAGTGTCATCACTTTGCAACTTGGGGAAAAAAGACTGCTCATGGCAAAGGTTTCCCTTCAGGTCTGTCTGGTAGAAAGGCCTTTTTAAAATAACATTGTGAAGTCTACTTTAACACAAACTAGAACCTTTTCTCACAAATAAGCAAGTAGTTGTTGTAACTGAACTCTGACTGACAGTTGTTAAGTGTAAACCAAATAATCCTGTATTTACTATTGGTTTCAACTACAGTCAAAGTCAAAGTCTGGTTTTTATGTTTGTTGCTCTACCCTTTTTGGCCACACCAACACAACCTTCACTCACTACTTTAACAATTTGTCAGATTCAGTCTTCCTGCAACTTTATCTGTTTAGCACAAACGGAAAACCACGTTGAATGATCGTTTTTTTTTTTTTTGGAGGCTCTCATATCAGAGGTGTGAATATACGGGGGTATGACTGGCATTACTAATCCACTGAAAATTGATTGAATGATGTTGATCTCTTTTCTAACCTTCTGCAAGCTCTCCAACTGGCCTTGAAGCTCAGTCACCTGTTAGGAGGTAAGCACAGATACAGAAACTACTTGTTAGTTTACTGCAAATATGACAAAAATACTACATACTGAAAAAAGAAGAAGGCTCATCACCAAGCTGTCTGACTGCAGAAGTAAACTGTCATTAGCTGTGATGTAAACTGAGCCTTTTATCATCCTGGGACAATATTTACACAAATATTACATGAAGATGTGAAATGTGCAAAGAATTTGTTTTGTCAAAAATAGTTTTGGTGCATATCAGCACCAGAAAAAAAAGATAACTCTTTGACATCACAGAGTTGGGGGGTCATCACATGACCTCACATTGTTAATAATTGTTGCTCACCTTACTCTCTGCTTGGCTCAGAGCAGTCTTGAGGCTAGAGATTTCCTGGTCGTGGCTCTGTTGGCTGGTTTGGTGGGTCTGCTGAAGCTCTTTCTGACTGGTGAGGTTCTGCTGAAGGGTTTCTTTAGCCTGCTGAAGCTCCCTTTGGAGCTGCTGAATCTGGTTCTGACGGGCTTGAGCTTGAGACTGAGCTGTTTTTAACTGGTTCTGCACCTTTAAGAAAAAAGGAAGCA